AACTAAATTTTAGCTTAACTCCCCCTGAGTCATTGCTTGAACTGCCCCCTGAATTTGACAACCAACATTAACATAAACGTTCAGAGGAAAAAAAAACAGAACAAAGTCAACAATGTTCATAAAAATAATTAAAGTAGAATATCCAAAGTCTCCTCAGTATCAGCTGCTGCTCCTCCATCATCAGCACTGGATCCACTGCTTTCCTCTGCTCCTTGAACTTCTCCTTCATTCTTTGCTCCTTCTTCACTGACTCCTTGCTCTCTGCCTCTGGCATCCAAAGGGTGAGAAGTCCCTGCTTCAACTTCATGACTAGCCTTTTCTCCTCTTTTTGATCAGAAAGAGCTTTTTGGAGCATGTCCACCATGGACTGGTGATAAGTAATCTGAGTTAGAGAGTGAGTAAGCTGTTGTAACAGAAGATCTCTAGGAACAGAAACAAGAATGTTAGGAGTGTTGTCAACATGAGCAGCAACACCTTCAGTACCAAGATTATTTTGACCTGATTCAGTTGAGAGAAAATTATCTCCATTCCAGGGAAGATCTTGGACATGAGGAGCTTTTAGAAAATTTTGAGAAACAGTGATCATGCCTAGTGGAGTGTGAAGATATTCTAAGTCATCTTGGCCCAAGTTTTGAGAGAGTAAAATGGAGTAGATGAGAGAAGGATAAGGAAGATGAGTAGAGGGTGAAATTTACTGGTAATCCCATCCCCAATTTGTACATGAGTACTGCATGAGGTTTAGTTACCACAGAGACATTTTTGGATGGAATCCAATTCATCACTGTGAGTCTAAACAAGACAGAATAAAAGGCAGTGAGTTGGGAAACCTTGAATTTTCTGGGGTGAGCAGGCCAACATTTTAAACGATTTCCAGAAATAGTTTTACAAACCTCAGTAAAATCACCATAATTATCATCATCAATCACAGTAGGAGTTTGTAAATGAGAGTTGATAATTTTGGGAGAAAAGGAGAAAATGGAATTTCTCACATAAACTTTGCCAAAGTTTGGAGAGTTTTTCTTTAAAAAGGAGGTTTGCAAATTGGCATAAAATTCCTTCACAACAGTGGGATCATAAGAACAGGCAACCTCAACTAGGCTGAGGATTTTTCTTTGATGAAGAAAAACAGTGATCCTATGTCTATCAAACTCTTCCTTGGAAATTTTCTTTTCCTCAATGAATTGGCAATTCATGATTTGAGGGCTCAAATTTGAATCAGATTCAAAATAAAAAGTAGGACTGAAAGCATTGTTTACCTCAAAAGGAGTTGACAAATCCTTCCCATCCAAGTCTGGCTCTTCTTCTTCTGAGGAGTCCTCATCTTCTGAGTCTTCAAGCTCATCTGGAATGTATGCTGGTTCAGGTGATGCAACAGGTGGGGCAGCATCTTCTTCCTTCTGAGAAGAGTCCTCAGAAGAGTCACTGTCTGACTCTGAGGAGGGCAAATTTTTGCGAAAGGAAGCAAGAGGAACCTCCCAGCTGTCATCACTTTTCTCTGGTTCTTCAGCCTGAGGAGGGGATACATCCACTTGAACTGCTGCTTCTGCCAGAGTTTCTAGAGGGTCTGCATGTGGTGCTGATGGTGTTTCTTCAGTAGTAGTGAAATCCTGAGCATCAACAGTGGGAATGTCAACATGCTCGGCAGAGGACATCCCAGAAAAATCAGGCATTTCTTCATCCTGATAAGGAGCAGCATCCTCAGCAGCACTCTGAGGGACATTTGTTGAGACAGTGGGTGCAGCAGCATCTTCAGGAACATGGGCAGCAACACCTTCAGAAACAGGATGTTGAGAGGCTGTTGCTGCCATGTTAGGCTGAGATGTCTCCCCCTGAGTTGATACTGGGGGAGGTGAGTCCTTGGATGATGACTCGGAGGAGCTGGAGGATAGAGCTTGGGCCTCTGGTTCTGCAAAGGTAGGATCTCCTTCTTCATCATCTGTGTCTTCATCAACCAAATGGAGACCTCTTGGAGGATTTGGCCTAACTGGAGTACGGCCACCTCTGCCACCTCTTCTTCCATCTCTGCCTCCTCTTCTGGGAGAGTTACCTCCCCTCCGGCGTTGTGACCCAGCAGTGTTCAGATCTGGGAAGGGATTCATGCGCTTGGACCGGCGAGTTGGAAATCTTCCGGTAGTGGAAGAGGGACCCACGAACTCGAAGTTGTCTGGGTCGATCGAATTCAGCTCGTCTCCGGGCTCAATGTAACTGATTGGTACAGCTTCAAGGTTGACAGGATGAACGATGATGACCAGATTTGGGTCTGCTGGTTCAGGTCCTGTAGCATTGTTGTGGACATCACCAACGGCGGCTGGAAGAGGATTTCTAGGAGGAGATGCCATGATACAGTAGATAAAGAGAGATTGCTTCTTTGTGCTTTTGATTTTTGAGTGTGAATTTTCGAAAGAAGAAGCACGAAATTTATAAGCCCTAATTTTTGCTGAAAAAAAAATTGAAGTGGAGAAGGTGAAGAAGTGGTGTGCGTTTTTCTTGGAGAAAGTGTGATTAAGGAGAATAAAAGTTTATTTGGCAGTTTAAAGCAAACCGTGACACATGGCACAATAAGGAGTGGACTTAGTGGAAAATGAAAGACTAACCCATGTACCCATGACCCATATAAATAGGGATAATTCAATAGAAATAAAAATAAAAACCGTAGCACTCATGAAATATTCACAAAAATAAAAAACACATTTATTAATGATTAATAGTGAGAAAAAAAATTGGCTGACAGGCATAGAATTTATTATATATATATATATATATATATATATATATATATATATATATATATATATATATATATATATATATATATATATATATATATATATATTTTTTTTTTTTATTTTTTTTTATTTTTTTTTAAACTCTTATTTTCAAGTCAAACAATTCACATGGAACATGATCAAGTGTTCAGTTTGAAGGTTCCTCGGTTACTAAGATATGACTATCAAAATAGAGGAGTTTGACTTATGTGAGTGTAATTATTCCCCAAATGTTTACATGAAGCATGATCATGTTTCAAGGTGAAAGACTTCCAGTTACTTATTTAGAAAATAATCTATCACAGTGAAGTCATTATTTAAAGAAGCTAAGTTTCAGTAAATTATGTTGCAGCTTAAGATATTTGATGAGGTGCTAGCAACATATTTGAGGACATGTTTATTGAGTACACATCCCGAGAGATTTTATGAGTTTAGAAAACCTCTCATAATCTAATGCCTTTGTAAAGATGTCAGCCAGCTGATCTTCTGTAGGAATGTACTTTAAGCACACTATATTTTTCTCAACTATATCACGAATAAAATGATGTTTAATATCTATGTGTTTAGTTCGTGAGTGTTGAACAGGATTCTTTGAAATGTCAATAGCACTTAAATTATCACAATATAATGTCAGGGTGTCACTGGTCAACCCATAATCTCCCAACATTTGTTTCATCCAAATTAGTTGACCACAACATCCTCCAACAGCTACATATTCTGATTCAGCTGTTGAAAGAGATACACAATTTTGCTTTCTACTAAACCAAGAAACCAGATTATTCCCCAAAAAGAAACATGCACTTGAGGTGCTTTTTCTGTCACTAATATCCCCAGCCCAATCAGAATCACTAAAACCTGTCAAATTTGTATTAGTGTCTTTGAAAAACTGAATCCCTAAGTCTACTGTACCTGCAACATACCTAATAATCCTCTTCACAGCTTTAAGATGAGTGACTTTGGAATTAGCTTGATACCTGGCACACACACAAACACTAAACATAATGTCAGGCCTGCTTGCTGTTAGATACAGAAGGCTTCCAATCATGCTTCTGTAAAGGGTGCTGTCAACATCCTTGGACAGTTTTTGACTTGAACCCATTGGAGTTTTCATGTGCTTGGTTGACTCCAACTCAAACCTTTTGACCAGATTGAGAGCATACTTCTTTTGATTTACAAAAATTCCTTCACCTGTCTGTTTGATTTGAAGTCCTAGGAAGTAATTCAACTCTCCTACCATGCCCATTTCAAAAGTGTGAGACATAGAATCTACAAAAGATTGTAAGAGGTTAGCACAGGTAGAACCAAAAACAATATCATCAACATATATCTGTACAATAATGATATGATTATTTGTTCTTCTAACAAATAGAGTTCTGTCTGCCTCTCCTATGTTGAACTGTAATTCAAGTAAGAAGTCAGTGAGTCTTTGATACCAAGCTCTAGGAGCTTGTTTGAGACCATACAGAGCCTTCTTAAGCTTGAAAACATGATTAGTCTTGGCAGAATCTTCAAAGCCCTTGGGCTGCTCTACATATGCTTCCTCATTTAAAACACCATTTAAAAATGCACTTTTGATATCCATCTGATACAGTTTGATTTTAAGAAAGCAGGCTATAGCAAGAAGTAACCTAATAGATTCAATTCTAGCTACTGGAGCAAAAGTCTCATCAAAATCTATACCCTCAATTTGAGTATAACCTTGTGCTACTAACCTGGCCTTATTTCTAACCACTGTACCTTTTTCATCAGTTTTGCTTTTGAAAATCCACTTAGTTCCTATCACATTTACATGGCTTGGTCTGGGAACTAAGTACCAAACATCATTTCTGATGAACTGATTCAACTCTTCATGCATTGCATTGATCCAGAATTCATCCTTCAGAGCTTCTGCAATATTCCTTGGTTTCACTGAAGACACAAAACAAGTAGTTCCAGTTAGTGCACATTCAGAAGATAAGTTTGCAAATCTTACCATATCTCTGTAATTCACTCTCTCTTTTCTTCTGGTTCTTATCCCATCAAAGATATCTCCCACCACTTGAGTAGATGGGTGATTTTTCTGGATTCTACTTGATGGTTCCTTTCTGCAGACATCATAGGTTGGCTGCAATTCAGCTTCTGTGTCCTCTGTAGGATGTATTGAGTCAGATGTGGTAACACTTGGCTCAACACCTTCTTCTCTTGAAACCGGCCTGTTTATATCTGGGGCATCTATGGCAGTAGTGTCTTCTCCGGTTGTTTCTCTTTCAGCAATCAGGTCATCAACTTCATCTTCAGCTGTTTTACTGCGGAGATCAGCAAAGTCATCAAATACCACATTTACAGATTCAATAATGGTTCGAGTTCTTAAGTTATATACTCTATAAGCATGACTGTTATTAGAGTATCCCATAAACAAACTCAAATCACTTTTTGAATCAAATTTAGCTAGATGATCGCTATCATTTAGGACATAGCAGACACATCCAAACACATGCATGTATTCTAGATTAGGTTTCTTTCCATAAATAATTTCATATGAAGTCATCATAGACCCTAATCTTAGATACACACGATTTGAGATGTGACAGGCTGTGTTGACAGCCTCAGCCCAAAACCTTTTAGACAGATTTTTTGCACTCATCATTACCCTAGCCATCTCCTGGATAGTTCTGTTTTTTCTTTCAGCAATACCATTTTGCTGAGGAGTTTTTGGAGCAGAAAATTCATGCTTTATACCCTTTTTATTACAAAAAGCAAGAAATAAAGCATTCGCAAATTCTTTTCCATGATCAGACCTTATTCTACGAATAGAAACTTGAAATTGAGTTCTAACAAACCTGTACAAATTTCTGAAAACTTCAAAAGTATCAGATTTTTCTCTTAAAAAGTACACCCAAGTATATCTTGAAAAATCATCAACACACACAAAAACATATTTTTTACCACCTAAACTTTCTACCTCTATGGGACCCACAAGATCCATATGTACAAGTTCAAAACAAATGGTGGTACCAACGTGTTGTAACACTTTGTGTGGTACTCTAGTTTGCTTTCCCTTCTGGCACATTCCGCATATAGGAATGTCCTTGATCTTGAGATCTGGAATTCCTCTTATGGCATTGTACTTGTTGAGCAGCTTCAGATTTTTGAAGTTTGTGTGCCCTAGTTTCTGGTGCCACAGCTCTACTTCACTTACTCTTGAGCTCTTGCATGAGATGGTGTCACCTTTTTTATAACAATTGTCCATTGATCTGGAACCTGTCAGTACACAATGATTTTGATTATCAAACACAGAACAACAATATTTATCAAATTGAACACGTAGATCATCATCACACAATTGACTAATACTGATGAGATTAGACCCCAATCCTTCAACATGTAAGACATTTGAAAGTTTTGGAAGTCCCTCAATACTGAGTGTTCCACGTCCAACTACTTTGCCTTTAGCTCCTCCTCCATAAGTTACACGTCCTCCATTAAGTGTATGGTAGTTTGATAGAAATTCTTTTGTTCCAGTCATGTGCCTAGAGCATCCACTATCAAAGTACCATGACCCTGAAATGTTAGCATTTAAAGAGGTGTATACTGCCTTGCACAAAAGTTTACCTTTGGGAGTCCATATTTTACACTCATTTTTGGTAAATTCTACATTTTTCTTTGAAGTGTTTCCTGGAGTGGTGTGACTCATCCTGTACAACATTTTGTCACTACTTAGTTTCTCACAAAATGGACGAATATGTCCTGGTGAGAAACAGTAATGACAAATGTATCCCCTTATTCTGGACTCTGGAGTGGAGATTGTGGAATTTCTGCATTCTTTTCCATTTGAACCCTTCTCTTTTACAAAAATAATTTCTTTCTTCTTTACTGGCTTGTGTTTCTTCACTTGGTTTTTGAACCCTAGACCTTATTTTTGTTGTATTTTTCCAGTGACACAATCTCGTTGAGTTTAGTTGTGTCGGTATTCATCCTCTTGATTGCTAGAGTTGCTTCTTTGAGTTCATCTTTCACCTTTGCCAGTTCAAGATCCATCTTGGTGATACCAACCTCCAAAAGTGTGACTGTTTCTTTGAGAGAAGAATTTTCGTTGTTGGCTGCATCTAGAGCTTGAGTCTTCTTCTCCAAATCACTAACCAATTTCTTACACATTTCTTCTTCATCACTAACTGCTTCTTTACTGCATTCTACTGCATTCAAAGAAATAGAGTTTAAACATGTATAATGATCATTATTTAACTCAGAAATTTCAGTTACTGAAAGTGTTTCAGAAAGTGTTGCAGCATCTAGAGAAACTCCTTGTGATTCTGTTTCAGAAGCACTTCCAGTGATATATCTGACAAAAAGAGCTTGTTTAGTGGATTGCTGCTCCTCTGTCTGTTCAGGTTGCTCTTCCTCCTCATCACTGACAGCACAAATCAAACTCATTCCTCTTCTTCTCAAGGTATTTGCACATTCATTAGCATAATGTCCAAATCCTGAACATGCCCTGCATTTAATATGATCCAAGTTAGGTGGTTCAGAATTTGAACGAATAAATGAAGAATATTTTAAAGTGTTTTGAGAAGATGTTTGAGAAAATGTTCTCTGTGGAATAGATCTATTTCGGGGCTGAGTTTGTCGATTTTGTTGAGAGCCATCTGGAAATAACTGTCTGGGCTTAATTCCACTTCGCCTGTATGCCCTATTGAATTTCTGAATTTGGAATGCAACATTGTTGAGGCATTCCTCTGCATCATCATCATATTCCGGAGCAACATCTTCCTTCTCTAATTCTGCTTGTAGTGCATTTGAGATAGCTTTTCCTTTCTCCTTTCTTTGATCTTCAAAGTTCATCTCTCTAGACTTTAGACTACCAATTAAGTCGTCCAGCCGTAGAGATGATGTGTCTTTGGCCTCCTTAATAGCAGTAACCGTCATGTTGAATCTTTCTGGAAGAGTTCTCAATACCTTATTTACCAGTGTCTCGTTGCTCAAAGGACCACCTAAGGATTGAAATTCATTAGCTAAATCAATCAATTTCTCATTGTATTGAGAAATTGTTTTAGTTTCTTCCATTCTCAGTCTCTCAAATTTGGAAGAGAGTAATCTGAGCTTAGTTCTTCTGACACTGTCTGATCCCTCACAATGTAGCTGAAGAACTTCCCAAGCATCCTTCGCAGAAGTGCACACTGAGATCAATTTAAACATTGTTAAATCTACTGAATTAAAAATTGCATTTAACTCCTTTGAGTTTTGGTTAGCATATGATAGATCGTCTGGTGTCCACCGTAATTCTGGTGTTGGAAACACATCCCCATCCGCATCTGTGATAGTTGGTGGCTTCCATCCAGTGAGAATAGATCTCCAGGCTCTCTCATCAATGGCTTTGATGTACGCCCTCATCTTGACTTTCCAGTAGGTGTAGTTTGTGCTAGGGGTGGTTTCGGTACGGTTACCGAACATTTTGTTCAATACCGTGTACCTACCGTATCTTTCGGTATTGAAAAATTCTATACCGTTACCGTACCAACAATTGCGGTATACCGTTATTCGGTATACCGGTAGTTTCGGTACGGTATGATCGGTACGTGGTAATCTACCGTACATCATTTTGTTGATTAACTCGGATGATACCATAATTAAGATGAATACTAAATAAATGCATAAATACAACAAATTAAGCAAATGAATATGGTAATCAGGAAATTTACATGAATGTACATTATACGACCGTAATAGCACTTCAATTAACTAATGATTACTAAGATATCTATAGAAAAATTGTAGAAATTAATGAGCAAGTTTCATGGTTTATATAAAGAGAAATAGAAAAAAAACTATGTTGCAATAATGCAAATGAAACAAAAGGCTGAGAACTTAGGGAGGAAAGAAAGGGAGAAGAAAATTATGGCAAAAAGTATTCCACCAATAAGAGATTAGTTGGACTTTGAAACTAAAGAAGTACGTGACATAAACAACTTCAACGAGAGCCAAGTATTGAGTTTGCATAAATATAAAATAGTAAAAAAAAAATTATAATTATGTATATATAATATATATAGGATGTATCATATCTTTATTCTTGTTTTTTATTTTTTTAATAATATTTGTTGACTATATTTTTTTTATTTAACAATATAAATGGAAAAATATGTTAACTAATTTTTAAAATAAGTTGCGGTACGGTACGGTATTACCATGGTATTGAAGATACAATACCGTTACCGTACCGTAAGACAATGGTACGGTACCGATACCGTACCAAATGCAGTGGTAACCGATAGTTCGGTATTTATTCGGTAATTTGTGGTAGGTATACCGTGGTAATCGGTATTTGGTAATTTTTGCCCAGCCCTAGTTTGTGCCGTCAAGTACAGGAGGTCGCATAGAAGCAGTCATCTGAGTATCCATCACGAATTCGTTTCTGTAAAAGAAATAGGAACAAACACTTAGTATACGTCAAGTGTTGGCTCTTGATGCCAATTGAAAGAATTTATGGTCCGAATTCGTTTAATACAGAGATGTTATCCGAAGTGTTATAACACTTGAGTAAACATGCAGCGGAAATATAAAGAGAAAAAGACAGTACTCAGATAAAAAAAATGTTCACAAGTAAAGACTTGTGAACTTGTCCTTTACAGGACGAAAAATATATTAAAAACAGTATTCCAAGAATACAAACAGAAGAGGTGCGAAAACTTCTCCCTTATGAATGAATCATTCACATGATCATTCTTACAATCAAATCTAGATACAAAAAGAGAAATATTAAAAATTCTAGATTTCAAAGAATGTATTCGTAAAGAGTACGTACAACAGATCCTAGAAACACACTAAAAACTCTTGTGGATAAAACTTCAGCACTCGTTTTTGTTTCTTCGAAATCTGCACTTTTCTTGTGTCTTGAGTTTGGTATTTATAGACTTTCCAAGCTTCCACTTCTCAGCCCATGATCTGCAAGAAAACCAACTTCAAGAGCACTCAAAAAAATGGGTTAGTGGGTTAGTTAGGAAGTTAGAATAAAATCTACAATTAAATCCACTAAGTACTACTTAGCCCACTAAGTCATAACACTTAGCCCACTAAGTCACAACTAAAATTTAGTTTGAAAGTAAGAGAGTTAAAAACTCTTTTGTATAAAGACCAACGTGTTTCACTATGCATATCATTTTGCTAATTATTCTGTAGAAAAGTCTTTCAGTGGAAAAGTGAGTTCTTCTTTTTTTCTTTTTCTTTTTTAAAATGAAAAAGAATGATATATAGATACTAGACATAATGAGTTGCAAACCGAAAGAGGGACTTGGGCATATTTATTTATTGCATTTCATTTCACCAGTCAATTCCAAATCAAAGAAAATTTATTAATACAGTTAATATTCATATAATGAATTAACTACAATATTTATTATTTTTTTCCTATTAAATTTGAGATAACACTGAAAGTTAAATTGGAAAATAGCATTCAATTCAAAGAATTAAGCAGCCATAAAAAAAAAAATAGCTAAAATTTTGATGTTCAATCAAGCTTAAGCTGCACCTCTCGAACAATCCTCGGGCGCAAACGACATCTTATCGTCCTTCAAATCGTACACAATCCTCATATTCCTCTGTTGATAAGCTCCCAAAATCGTGACGTTTTCCGACTTCATCGCCAAGCAAAACACATTCTTTCCCAACATCATGAAAGAATTCTCCCACGGGACTTCGTAATCGGCCCCTTCAAAATGAAACGTCATATTCGGAAAATTCGCGAAAAGACCTTCCGTATTAGAAACGACGTGCATGTAGCAAATCAATCCCTTCGGAACCTCGTTCCCCATAAGTCTTCTCACATTCTTGAATCTCGAAAAGTAAACCAACATGAAATTTCTCACCTTAACGAAAGCGTTTCCGTTCAAAAGACTGATCGAAGCGCCCGAATCCACAACGCACCCCTCGGGAAACGTACCTTTTGAAAGTCCCAACTTTTGTCCGGCAATGCTAATATCGTTCAACTTCAATATATAATGCGTGTCGGGTATCATCCTTACGAAAGGCGTGCTCCGAGCATTCGCTCCTTTTATTACAGCGTCGTCGCCGAAACTCAAGTACGATGACGACTCTTTGGTATTGTTCGAGTCTATTTTCGTCAGACAATAAGAAAACCGATGCTTGATGCGGTCCCCAAGCTGTCGAGCGAACGAAATCGGCACTTTATCCATCCCAAGAATTCCACTTACCCCTTCACCAAAATCGCCAACGTTAGTGGTCCCGCAGCCGAAAGACATATTAGCCACTCTTGTCGAAACTCGTGCACTCGTTCCGAATGTGAAATCCTCCATCGCCAAGATTCCCCTGGAGAACTGCCCACTGTAATACTGCATAAGGTAGAAGCATCCTTCGGATCTGCATTTGAACCCCCTCGATAGTTTGTTCCTTGTTAACATTAATCGGTAGGTACTCGATTTTTTAAAGTCGAAAAGAGGTTGGTTTTGCTTGAAGCATCGGATGCACGGTTTGCATTGCGTCCATGTGAGGTGGCTCCCCGTGTCGAAGATCAACGTTCTTTTGGTGACGGGTGTGCCTAGGCCTATGTCGACCGTGTATAAATATTCGTGGTGCATTAGTGGGAACCGTAAGGATGCGTTTTGGAGATTAAATCGGTGAAAGCGAGAGGCGCGAGCTTTGGAAATCTCGACGTTTTTATTGAATCTTTCGAAGTCGGAGAGATTTGGTTCGTATAGAGGAGAGTTTGGAGAATCTCTGTGAGTGAGTTTCAATCTTAAACCACTTGAGATTATTACAAGTGATAAGAGATTAAGGAAGATGCATATCACATTTTTTATTGTTTGAGCCATGTTGAAAAAAACAAAAAAACAGACCAGAGAGATTAATGCAACAAATATTGTGCTACTAATGATTTACACAAACATATATATATATAGAGGTAATGTTTTGAATTATTAGATTATGGCTTGGTGATTTGCTTTTATTTTATTTGTAATTTGTTTTAATTTAGTTTGTTTTCATCTTATTTATGATAAGTTTGACCAAATCATTTTTTTCTTTTTGGTAAATAACATTAAACTGCATGATTTTTTTTAGTTTTGAAGGATTGAAGGAAAAACAAATTGCACGATCCCACTTCAAAGTGTAAAATATAATGGTTTTTTCGTCTTTTCATGTCAAAATACGTAAGGAGTCCTAATTTTTCCTCCAATATCTTTCCCTCCTTCCATATTTCCCTCAATTTTTTCCTCTCGTGTTTCATTCTCTTGCTGCTAATTTTTTTCCCTCAATAGTTCTAGTGCCCTTTTGAAGCTTGTGCCGAACTAAAGAGCAAAAATCTTGATTTTGATCACAAAAGAAGAAAACGAAAACAGAGGAAATGCAGGCTTGTCATTTTGAAAAGATTAAAAAGTCCTTCCAAATCACATGTACAAAACCGGTGCGTTAATTTCGGTCATTTTGGCTGGAAAATGAGCTAGAAATTGCAACGTGGCGCAAAAAATCGAATTCACGAGTGATCGGACAGTTTTTTATGTTCAAGTAGTAATCTGCTAAAACTAAATGTAAAAACTAAAAAAATTCTGGCAATTTAATGTTGTATTTTGATCAGGGCCTGCTCAAACATATATGGGGCCCTATGCCGAAAGTTGACATTGGGGCCCTTATTTTAATTTTTAATATAGGAGTAAAGATTTTTTTGCCTAACAATTTTTTTTTTCTATAAGTATTACAAGTATTAGTTATTATTCTACAAGGGGAGGCATCCCTATAACCCATTTGGCCTATGCGGATGATGGGATGATATTTACCTCGTGCCATAATTTTGGCCTGATGAAGCTGTGGGATTTTCTTGATCATTACTGTCGGACTTCGGGTCAGTTGATTAGTGTGCACAAGAGCACTTTCACAGTTGATAGGGCATGTTCTGATGGTCATCTTCGCACTATTTCTCGGATTCTCAGTTATCCGAGAAAGGATCTTCCTATCATTTATCTTGGAGCTCAGCTATACAACGGGAGGGACCGGGGCAGTTTGTTTCAGACTTTGCTTGATCGCATGCAAGCCAAGATTTCGGGTTGGGCTCGGACCGCTTTGGCTTTCGGGGGCCGTCTTGCCTTGATCCGGAGTACGATTTCGACTATGGCTTTGCATCTTGTTCAGGTTATTCAACCTCCGCAGTACATTATTCAGCAGATTAAGCAGTGCATGGCCCGATTTCTCTGGGGATCTTATGGTAATCAGCGCCGGCCTCATTGGGTTGCTTGGGAGACGATTTGTCAGCCAGTTGGTGAGGGTGGCTTGGGGTTGAGGCGTTTAACGGATGTGATTGACGCCTTCACTTACAAGCTTTGGTTCCGATTCCGTGCTAAGGATTCTCTTTGGGCCCATTTTCTCCGAAACAAGTATTGCCGGAATCGGTTCCCAGGTTCATCCGTTGTGTCTTCACTCTATAGCACGATGTGGAAGCGCATGTGCCGTGTCCGTGAGCGTGTTCAAGCTCAAATATTTGGCGGATTGGTCCAGGTCATATTTATTTCTGGCACGACCACTGGTTTGACGATGGTCCCTTTTCGGGCATTATTCATGGGGGTCGGCTAACGTCAGTTCGTGTGGAGTATTATTTGATTAACGGTCAGTGGGATCGAAACAAGCTAGCTGAGGATATTCCTTTTGAGTTGATCGATAGGATTTGCTCGGTCCCAATCTCTGGTGCTTCGGGTGATTTGCCCATTTGGAGAGCTTCTTCGGATGGCAAGTTTTCCTTGACCTCGGCTTGGGCCTTGATACGACAGCAGCATACCCCTACCCCTCTTCTTCGTATATTTTGGGGATCTTGTCTTACTCCTACAATTTCTATCTTTCTTTGGCGTCTCATTCTTCAGCGTCTTCCAGTGGATCTCAAACTTCAGTCTCCAGGCACCTCTCTCGCCTCGAGTTGCTATTGTTGTCCAGATCCATCTATTCATGTGTCGAGTCTTGTATCTCAGTCTGTCGAGTCTCTTTCTGTTGAGTCGATTGATCATATCTTCGTGGAGAGCCCGACGACTAAGAGGGTATGGCATCATTTTTTCTATCTTTTTGGCTATACACCTGCACACACTACGCAATACCCCAAATTCTACTTTATTGGCAGCACTTCACTTCGCACACACTCACACACCACACACACATCACGACCATTGTGCCTTGCTTGATCTTGTGGTACTTATAGATTGCAAGAATTGACAGCAAGCACAAGGATATCACGGTCCGTGCTTCTTCCATCATTTACAGGGTCATCCAGCACATCAGGATTCTTCACCAAACCAACTTACTTTAGGCGGACAGCTGGACTGGCATTCCCCACGTGGCTGAGTCTCTTGGCCTATATTACCGAGTCAGAACACCAACTCTCACACCTCATCGAGTTGTTCGGCTTCCACCGGATTCGGGTTGGGTAAAGCTAAACACAGACGGAGCCCGTAGAGCATCCACCCAGATTGCAGCTATTGTCGGGATTATCAGAGGTTCGGACGCTGAGGCCATACTTGCATTTCACGAGAGGATCTCTGCCCCGAGCAGTATTGCAGTCGAGCTTGCTGCCCTTGCCTCGGGGCTGCGATTTATTATTCAGAGGCAATTCACTAGAGTTTGGATCGAGCTTGACGCATAAGTCGGTGTTCGACTTATTGCGCCCACGGACCAAGGTCATTGGAGTCTTCAGAGTTCTCTCACGGCGATCCGGAACTCTCTTTCTACTTTGGAGTACAGGATTACACATATCTACCGGGAGGGCAATACAGTCGCTGATGCATTAGCTAACTTGGGGTGTCAGACCGAGTTGGCTCGTACCTTCACAACAGCGGAGCTTCCCCTACCTATTCAGCAGATGATTCGGATGGACCAGCTTGGATATCCATCATTTCGACGACAGTCTCGCACATAGGTGCCATGCATTCCACGTTTTTATATTATTGGCAATTTAGGAATTTTCGTGAATTTTACATGTTAGGAAGGGTTGGGGTGATTATGGATTGTTTGGGTCTATCAAGACTAGACTGTTTGCCGAATGGTGCCACACATATCGCAGCCGTTATACCTATTTCGCCCATTTTTGGCGAAAGTGCAAGTGGCCTCGGCTGTTGTGGTGAGGCGAACGGTCTACTTGGTCTTCCCCGACCTTCTATGATCATTCCCACCCCTGTCCTTTTTATTATTTGTGCCACCTATTTTGCCCGTATTCTTAACGTTTTGTTAGTTAGCTATTGTCTTTTGTTTGTCAATTGCTATTATTAGCCATATATTGGGCAGTAGAAATTTGAGCAAAACTCATTATATACTTCTTAAATTTTGTTTTATAAACAGGTAGGGGGTCAAGCCTAACCCCCGGCCTTCATCGGGTGTCGTTCTGTTACAAAAATAAAAAGTATTAGTTATTATATTATTTTTTTTTAGAAAATTTGGGCTCCATGTGCATTCTTTTGTTTATTTATAACCAAATGATTTGAATTATTGTTATTTTATTTTTCTTTTTGAGAAATTCAAATCTTGTTATAAATAGGATTAGTAGGAGATGGGGCAGGATTCGAACCATATTACTTTAATTTAATAGTAGACGCTAGATATCAACTCTCCTAAGAAGGGTTGGTTGAACTATTGTTATTTTGACAAAGGTACAAATTTACTTTTGGAAAGAAAAGAAATATTTTCAATAATTTAGCCTTTTTTTAAGAACTAGCAAGGTGCACGTGCGTTGCACGTGTCGTAATATTATTATATTGTGAAAATAATTTTTTTGTGTCCATATTAGATTACAAGATGCCTTTTATTAAATATGAGTCAATTGGTTTTAGACCAAAAACATATTGCTACTTGTTGGTGATAATACCTACACGCAAGTGCACGTATCGTACAAGTAATATAGTTGACAATTAAGTCCGGATATCGATCCCACAGAGAATATTTAATTACTTAATTCTAGACGCTATATCCTATCAATTATTATCAAGCCCACCATACACAGTCGAAAGATGAATAATAAACTAAATTAACTAAACTAAATTAAGCAAATTAAAAAGACAAGCAAGAAAGCAAGTAAAATCGAACATTTATCCAGAGAAAGCAAACCTGGGATTTTATTCTCCCCCCTATGTGATTATTACTCCCTCAATCCCTTCAATTATGCAAGTAATTAACTCAGATTATTAACCTGAGATGCTAAATTAATCATAACCCGCTTCCGCGTGTATTACGATTCTAATACTCTAGATTCAATTATTGTATTCCTACGCAATTAATTCTAGAACACAGCATTAAGCACAAGTCTCAATAATGGCTACCTAAGAGATTAACTATATTCATATGTTAATACCACAAAGGCTCTTCTACCACAATTCTAATTATTAACCCGATCTTCCGATTCATGCGACTAACAATAACATAAAAGCACATAATGTGATCAAGTTTATGCACATAATAAAACAAGTAGAAGAAATAATCCGGAATTAAAACTTGCATTAAATCATAGAATTGGGTTCATAAATCCCACATAGGGTTCGAAATAAAATCCTAGGAATAAAAGAATTAGCAACTCATGATTATAGTAAAAACAAAATAATAATTCATAAAAAGATAAACTATGCTTGTAATCTTCGAATTCTTCGTCTTTGTTATTGCTTCGTTGCTCTTGAAATTGCGTAAAAGATTGATGCACAATTATGTGCTTGGCTTGGTCTTATATAGGGTGGAAAATTTGGAGGAGAAGGTAGTTTCCCTGTGCAATTAAAATTCATTTACTGCGCTTCTACGCCTTCTCGGACGGCCGTCTGAGATTATGTACTAAAACTCGGACGGCCGTCTCAATTCCAGAGACTGCCTCTGTTTCTCGGACGACCGTCTGAGATTTAAGTGTAATTCTCAGACGGCCGTCTGGGCTATAATTCTTCAGATTTTTGACTTCTTCACTTTTCGCCCATATTTTCTCCAAAATTACAGTTTTTACCCCATACTTATCCAATTCTTCAATTTGTACCTAAAATACAATAAATCAACATTTTAAGCACCAATTATCATTAAAACACACCAAAAGCTCCAATTAAAAGGTACGATTAAGTGTAAAAATATACACTTAACACTACTTCTATAAACATTGGAGAAATGTAAACTACATCAAATCAAACTTAAAATGCTTCTCTTATCTTCTTTGTATTGCATATACATTGAAATTCAGGTGAATCCTAGGAAAACATATTTTTCGAGATTTATGATCAGATCTGCAGTCAATTACGAGATTTTGTTTAGTATTGCTATTGTAATATGATAGTTGTTGAAGTTAATGATGTCTATGTGAAATCATTAAAAACTAATACAACTCTTATAACTCTCTGGTGGGACAACAAATGTACTCATGATAACCAAAATGCATCATCCAATTGTAATGTTCCTCATGGCACACCTAGTCCTTATGCAACAGTACTCTGCTTATTATGGATTACCCTCTCTTTAACCAATTCCATTTTTTTTCTTATTGAATGATGAAACATACATTAGAAAAATAAACAAAAAACTTAGAAGCTTGTGCATTAACATAATTTCCAGCTAGCAAAGAGCATGAATATAAATTATGTTCCAAACATACTTTACACAAATTTAATTGGTCTATATGCTTCACAGTAGTGTAAAGAGAAGGTTAGGTTCGTGCAACCTTTACAAAGAGTATCACTCCACATGACCGCAAGTCTAGAGTAGCTCTATAGTGGTATCGATCGTTTTAGAGTTAGAGAATTTAGATAAATTCGAAACATAGAAGATGAGAGGTTCTCATAAACAAAAAAGAGACTTGCATATTTTAATAACATACCTCAGGGCATTTTGACTTTGACATACTATGTATCAGGCCATCATCCTGTCAAAATAATGACATAATAATTTCACAAAGTGAAACTATGTCTAATTATAAAGAATAAATAATTCATGGAAGAACTTTAGATATTGTCCATAAGTTTGCATACAATGATATCTTTGATATGTTACAACGATTGAAAGATATATCTCAAGTGAACTTGTATCTCAAGGGTAGTAAAATGTGCCTTCTTTATTCTAGAGCACTGAGTTGATTGTCTATTTGAATGCATTCTAAAAGAGCGTATCAAGAGCATAATCTTGACCTGTATACAGTAAAACCTGCTACAATCCTCAATAAAACAATGAAATATATTAATGAAACTAAAACATTTTGTCTTCAACCATTGGTATGTCATGAAATATCAAAACAAAGAACGGACTACATGTACAACCATTTCTTCACTTAGCTTCCTTAAACTAACTATTTAGTAAAACCATTCGAGAATACAAGATTGAGCTGAAATTTCTGCCCTATGCATTTTGGATGGCTTCATTTTGTCCTTCAGCTATCAGTTTCATCATCATGTGACTACACCATGGATCGGAGAATCCATTTGTTGTTGACTTCACATGTACGGTTGTACCTTCCATGCCTGTCATGTCTAAGAAAAATGATGTACATCCAACATCCTTATCTTGTAGTTTTGACGGATCACATCGACTTGCTATAAAAGGAAAAAAAAAACGAACCAAATATAGTTGTTGAATGACCACCTCAACCAAAAATTAAGCTATTATTATTTAATACTAATATATTCAATTCGCCCCCTAAAGTTTAAGCAAATTACATTTGAAGCCTTGCACTTGAAATATTTGAAATGGATGGCGGTGGGATTCGAACTCATGACCTTTCATTTGGTCTGACTCTGATACCTTGTTAAATGACTACCTCAACCGAAAGTTTAAGCTATTAGTGAAGTGTATCATTTGTCACTAATATCTCCAATAATAACGGTGATAAAGCATATAAAGTAAACTGGCATAATTCACTCTAGTATCCCCTTGAATGGCTCGTAGATTTTCTATAATAATATCTCTCTAAAACTCACCTGAATAGTAATGGGAACCAGATCGAAGATTTGTGTTAAAGGAATTTAATATCTAATAACATTAAATTTTTTTATGAGAGCACGACAGCGAATACAAGTGTTTTACATAAGGTGGGAGGTATTGTCTGCACGAAGGAGAAGGAGACTGATGATTCAATCAGAGCCTAAAACTTAACTCATGATTTTTAATTTGGAGTAAACACAAAACTTACTAAATTGAAAAGGAAACTATCTATAGCCATTGGACCCTAATATTTAGAGGGAAAAAATATGAATTGGAAAATAAAGAAGTTCATGAACAAATAAAATCACTAAAAATTCAAATAATATAGAAGATAAAACAATCAAGGGGCATTAAAATTTTTGCCATCAAAATAAAAATCATGGAAACAAGTTTATATAAATAAATTACATGAGAAATAACTTTTAATTTCATGTTATATTTGTCTACCATTAAACAACATAAAACCTCAGTCAAGTGCATAAAATTTAGGGTAAATTCCACTTTCCCCCTTATACTTTGGCTGAATATGACTTTACTTGAAAAATTGTCTCAATATGGCCATCGCCGTTAGTTTTCAGACCTTTAACCTTAACACCGTTTGATCTAAGTCTGGAAATTACAAAAAAAACCACTCCTCCTAGCTTAAATAATTATTAAAAAATTCAAAAAAAAATAAAATAAATGGTGGCAGACGTCGTTGACTATGTTTTCTCGTTTCTTGATTTTATTATTATTATTATTATTATTATTATTATTATTATTATTATTATTATTATTATTATTATTATTATTATTATTATTATTATTATTATTATTATTATTATTATTATTATTATTATTATTATTATTATTATTATTATTATTATTATTATTATTATTATTATTATTATTATTATTATTATTATTATTATTATTATTATTATTATTATTATTATTATTATTATTATTATTATTATTATTATTATTATCATTATTTTTAAATAATTATTTAAATTGGGAGGGGTGGCAGTTTTGTAATTTTAGAGCTTAGATCAAACAGCGTTAAGGTCAAATATCAGGCAACTAACAGCGAGGACCACGTTGAGACAATTTTTCAAGTATAGGGGGACAAATGAATAGAATGGGGTAAAGTGATATCGAGCCAAAGTAAAAGGGGGGAAAGTAGAATTTCCCCTAAAATTTATATCACTAACCAATAGAGATAGTCAAGCCACCAAAAGTGAAGTCTCCGAGTAACTAAAACATGACAATCAAATATAATCATCTAATGCAAAACTACCAATAGCAATATAAAGCCCATTTAACAAATTATTTCCTATTTATCCACTCACAATTCATAACATTAGCAAAGATTAATAACACGGCAGTTCAATTCCTATTTTCATAAACGGGATGTGGAATACCAAGAGCCACGGAAATCAAAAATTAAATTATGGTTTCCAGAAAATTTATAGCTTAATCTTGTTGGAGAAAAACTAACAACTTTGATGAGATTGGATCACTGACTAAACCCAAAGTCATGCAACATCACCTTTGGATTAAGCAAATAAAGCAGTTGCAGGATCAATACATTTTCTTTCTTTTGTTATGAGCCCCTGATAATGTACATACGTGAATTTGAGATGACAAGAAGAAGTCAATTGAAATAGAAAGTCCTTACAAACTTCACGTATAACATTCTTAGTCACAAACTATATCACAATGAATCTTACCTGCCAATACATAAATAAAGAATTGAATGGAAAAATAAAATGTAATTGCAAGTAAATTTAGTAGATAAAAGTTAAATCAATAATCCCCATGCATAGACCATTAATTTTATGAAACTGAAACACGTGTTATGAATTACCTGAGTAGAAATAATTTTAAATCAATAACCCCATGCATATAACCCATACATGTCTCATTAGGTCAATTAATTCAAATGAATAAAAAAATTAACTTATACATAGAAGTGGGAAAAATATGCAAAATAACTTACGAACTTTATTAACAGAGGCTCAATCCGATCTTGATATGGAGGATTTATTCCTTCATTAATCTAGAAAACTTTATCAATTTCTCAAAATTTAGGGTTCAAACAATTAAACATAGAACTGAAAACAAAAAAAAAATAAAAAAGAAGAAAACAAAAAAGAAATCGAGAAGAGAAAGAAAAGATGAATGAGAACTTGAAACTGGAAGTTAGGATCATTTATTTCTTCTTTGGTGTAACTGATGCAAAATTGAAATTCATATTGAATTATCGACCATTGAGTTTCTTTGAATTTCTTATATGACTAACATTTAATAGATACATGAGTTCATCTTTTCAGATGCCTTATACATTGAACTCTAAAAAATATCAATTATTTTCATAAACATACATTAAAAGACTAATTATAAATTAATATTAATTATTTTAATTTTGATAGGGGCATTTTGGTCATCACAAAAAAGGGAAGAAACCTCCCCTAACATTTCCACTTTTATAAGTAGTATAGATATAGATATAGATATAGATATAGATATAGATTATTTGTCATTAAATTTTTTCTATTGTTTCTCTTTTATTTTTATTGAGGCACAATCAATATATTTTACTAGTTCTTTTAAAAAAAATTGACCGATCCTTATTTATTTTTATTTATTCTACTTCATATCATCAGCCAATTCCAGGCCATTGTTGTTCATGTTTATACAATCAATTTATTTCATTTATATGAGACAATTTAGAGATTCAATTCAATCAAATTGCATCTCTTGAACAATCTTCGGGTGCAAATGACAACTTATCGTCTCTCAATTCGTACACGACCCTCACATTCCGTTGCTGATGAGCTCCCAAAATCGTCGCATTTTGAGACTTCATCGCCGCAAAGCAAAACATTCCTTTTGCAAACACCACGAAAGTATTCTCCCATGGAACATCGAAATCGGCCCCTTCAAAATGGTACGTCATATTCGGCAACTTCGCGAAGAAACTTCCGGTCGGGACAACATTCATGTAGCAAATGAGTCCTTTCGGAACTTGCTTCCCCACAACTCTTCTTACATTCTTAAATCTCGAAAAGTAAACCGTCAAGAATTTCTCCACCTTGAGGAAAGCCTTTTCGTTCAAAAGACCGATAGCTGAGCCCGAATCTATAAGACAACCCTCTGGAAATGTACCTTGTGTTAGTCCCAATTTTCGACCGCTGATGCTAATATCGGTTAGCTTCAACATATAGTGCGCGTGTGGTGTGGACCTTAAGAAAGGCGTGCTTCGAGTGTTCTTTCCTTTTATTACAGCTTCTTCGCCAAATCTCAAGTACGATTCCTTGATTTTTCCCGAGTCTATGTTCGTCAGGCAATAGGAAAACCGATTCTTGATCCGTGCTCCGAGCTGGCGAGCAAATGAAATCGGCTCTTTATCCATTCCAAGAATCCCACTCGCCACATTCTTTTCGCCAAAACTGCCATGATTATTCATCCCGCAACCGAAAACCATATTGAGAATTCTTCGAGGAACACCCGCACTAGTTCCAAACGTGAAATCCTCGAGCGACAAAACCCCGGTTGAAAATTGTCCGCTGTAGTACTTCACACCGTAGACGCATCCAATGTGGCTGCACTCGAAGCCCTTCGAGAGTTTGTTCGTTCGAGGCATTAATTTGTAGGAAACGGACTTTTTAACATCGAAGAGGGGTTGTTTTTGTCTGAAACATTTGATACAAGGTTTGCATTGTGTCCAAGTGAGGTGGCTCCCCGTGTCGAAGATGAATGTTCTTTTAACGGCGGGTGTGCCGAGGCCTATATCGACGGTGTAGATAGGTTCATGGTACGTCAGTGGGGCCCGCAAGGACACGTTTTGGGGTTTAAATTGGTGAAAGAAATTAGAAGCGCGTGCTTTAGAAATTTCGATATTTTTGTTGAATCTCTCGAAATCGGAGAGATTTGGTTGGTATAAAGGAGAGTTCGGAGAATCGCGGTGAGTGAGCTTTAATCTTAAACCACTTGAGATTATTACAAGTGATAAGAGATTGAAGAAGAGGCAGATAATTACAAGGTTTATTGTTTTAGCCATGTTTGTTCATTGATGAAAAACAACTAATGTATACTTATATTGATATGTAAAAAAATATATAGAGATAATGTGTTGAGTTATTACAGTATCTTGTGATTTGCTTTTTCTTTAGGTGTAATAAATTTTGATACATGACTCTATCTTGTAGTGTATTTATTGCATTTTGCTTGCAATTAAAATTGGAAATGCACATGTTTTTTTTATTGAAATTCCATGTCTTTGCTACAATATTACACAACCAAGAAAGAAAAAAAGATTCAAATCAAACGACTCGATTTCGATTTCGATAGATCGTTTAAAAAGCGATTTAACTAACATAGTCATATAGTATCTAAATTTTGAAGTAGCAAAAAAAAAATGAATGAAAAAGATAAAATTATACTGCATCGCGCGAACAATCCTCCGGTGCAAACGATAGCTTATCGTCCTTCAAATCGTACACGACCCTGACATTCCTTTGTTGATAAGCTCCCAAAATCGTCGTATTCTTGGACCTCATCGCCGCCAAACAAAACGCATCGTTTTCAATCGTCACGAAAACATTCTCCCACGGTACATGAAAATCGGCCCCTTCAAAATGATACGTCATGTCCGGTAATTTCCCGAAAAAATCTTTCCTGGAATTTGCATAGCAAACAAACCCTTTTGGAACTTCCTTCCCCACGAGTTTTCTAAGATTCTTAAAACTCCAAAAGTAAGCCACCAAGTATTTCTCCACCTTAATGAAAGCGTTTTCGTTCAAAAGACTAACCGAAGAGCCGGAATCAATCACGCATCCCTCCTTAAACGTACCTTGTTTTAGTCCCAACCTTTGGCTGCCGATGCTTATATCGATCAAGTTCAATAGATAGAGATTGTTTTTTGTTGTATGTAAAAAACGCATGGTTTGAGCATTCGTTCCGTTTTTTATTACGGCCTCGTCGCCGAACCTCAAGTACGACGCTTTGGTATTATTTTTCGAGTCGGTTTTCGTCAGACAATAAGAAAACCGATTCTTGATCCTCGCGCCAAGCTGGCGAGCAAACGAGACGGGCTCTTTACCCATTCCGAACACTCCACTAATCGCGTTCTTTTTACCGAAATCGGCCCCGTTAATGATCCCACATCCGAAAACCATACCAGCCACTCTTTGAGAATCTCCGGCACTAGTTTCGAACATGAAATCCTCCGCCGCCACAAGTCCGCTAGAAAACTGCCCGCTGTAGTACCGGACGATGTAGAAGCATCGAGTGGCACTGCATGTGAAGCCCTTCGAGAGTTTGTTCTTCCTAGAAATAACCCCGAACGAGCTCGAATTTCTCATGTTGAAAGGAGGTTGTTCTTGTTTGAAGCATCGGATGCATGGCCTGCACTGCGTCCAAGTGAGGTGGCTCCCCGTATCGAATATCAGCGTTCGAGTGACGACGGGTGTGCCTAGGCCTATATCTACGGTGTACGTGTAGTCATGGGGCTTTATTGGGGCCCGCAACGACGAGTTTTGGAGCCTCGTTTGGTGAAAGTAAGAGGCACGGTTTTGGGAGATTTCGACGTTTTTATTGAATCTTTCGAAGTCGGAGAGATTTGGTTCGTAGAGAGGAGAGTTTGGAGAATCTCTGTGAGTGAGCTTCAATCTTAAACCACTTGAGATTATTACAAGTGATAAGAGATTAAGGAAGAGGCATATCACAATTTTTATTGTTAGAGCCATGTTTGTGCAAAGACTAGAGAGATTGTTACAATACAATGGTATTATATTGTATTGCACAAATATATATATATATATAGAGAGAGAGAGAGCCAGAGAGAGAGAGATAATGTGTTGAGTTATTACATATATGTCTTGATGATTTGCTTTTATTTAATGCGTAATTAATTTTAATTTAATCTGTTGTGATGGTGGTGCTTTTGTGATCGTGTTACTGAAAGCACCCTAGCTGCATGCAACAAGTGGTGGTATATAATATATACATGCATATCATGTAATGTAATATTTATTACCTTTTGGATGTAATTAGAACTGTAAATACAGATATGTTATTACAATTTCAATGCAATAAGAACTGGAGTTCTTACACGAGTGCCCCAAAGGAAGAGAAGAAAAAAAAAATGAAAAATAAAAATACTCGATTCCGACCCCAATAAAGATCATTAAAACACGGTTTAACTAACATATATAAATTTTGAAATCCGATAAATATTTAATCACCATACATAACAGAACAAGCTTTGCAGCAGAAAACGGTGTTCTTCGCTAAGTGGTCTTACAAAGATCAATATAAACAGTAATCAGCGACCGCATCTATTACACCGAACGAAGTTCCGATATTTAATCTACGTCGTCTTTCTTCAACATACACTACCATAAATAAAAATCGATACAACAGTCAACGGTACAATCACATTGAAAAAAAAAAAACAAATTAAAAATGGCAAGCAACCATTTCTCAAACCCTGAAAAAAACATCACCAAGAGAAAAAAGGTGGGAGATTTTTTTTTTATTTCTTTTTTTTATTATTTTATTTTATTTTTGGCCCTTCTTCTTCCAAAGATCACCAAACATTCTCATACCCGACGAACCTTTTCTCTTCTCACTCCCAAAAACATCGTCACAATCGTCACTAATTCCGGGCGACCCCACATAGCCACCAGAACCGTATCCACCGACATGTTCGTACGAATGTGCGTATAATATCTTATCCATCGACCCACACCGCTCCGATATTCTTCTCCCGTTATTCATCTGGTCAACTCCGCCAGACAAAACGGAAGCCGCCGCATCTGCCGCCTTTCTCCACTGCTCCGTTTGCACACGAAGCATCTTCATCTCGTTTTCGAGTTCCTCCTTAGCTTTTTCAGCAGCTTCTAACTTTTCATTCATCTCTAAGTGACTGCTTTTGCTCTTCTCTGCCTCTTCGTATGCATTAGTCAACTTGAGAGTCAACTCGTTTATTTCGGATTGAGCTGATGAAATCTTGACCGACTTTTCGTCGAGCTCGCTCTTTAAGGTACTGTTCTCTAGGCGAAGGGCTTCCATTTCAATATCCTTCTCTTCTAAAGTGGCTTTAAGAGAGCTAATCTCGTCGTTCTTTAAATCCAACTCGTTAAATAATGGATTTTCCGGCTCGGATAAATCAACGGGGTTAGGTTTGAATTCGTCCTCTTCTTCTTCTTCAGCCTTGGGCTCCATTGTTAATTTTTCGATCGGAACCTCAAAAACATCGGTTTCTTGGGTTTCGTAAGGAATAACGCCGTCTTTGGCTGTGTTCGATGTTGGTGTCTTCTCTTCGATTTCGGTTGACTTTTGTTGTTTCTTTGACTTCTTGTCGAGTTGATCTTGTTGCGATGATTTTTTGGAGGAATCGGTGGAGACTACTAATTGGTCCTTGAGGCTTTTGAGCTCCTCCTGAGCTAGGCCGAGTTGGGATTCCAGGTCAGCAATGCGTGTCCCGAGTTTCTTCGGGTTGGACGGATGAGATTGAGCGCCGCCACGTGGCGATCGGCCATCGGCTAGCTTCGGGGCCCTTTCGCTCCTAGGACGGAGATGAAGCGGAGGATCGGAATCGGAGCTTGACGTTCTGAGATTACTAGATGGGGCGGGCCCACCACGAGCGGATTGCCGTTGAGTAGCTACTTCTGTCGCTGCCCTGTAGAAACCGTCGAGAAGTCGATGGATGAATAATTAAAATAATCATAATAACTTTTTAAACGAATTGTGAGCCCTAGATTTTGAGAATACCTTGTTCGTCGCATTTTGTCCGATTCAAAAGAAGAAAAAAAAAAAAAACTAAATATGAGATCTCCCAGCAATTTGATCTGCACAAAGAAAATACGAAATGCGTTTAGCACCGGGGCATAGGCTTCGAACTGCCTCGTAAAATCAAATACTACATAGAAAGCTAAATATAGTTATTGATGATGACTTTTTTTTTTAAAGTCTTGGCATCATTAATCAATTATTATTTTATAAATAAGAACTTAGTTATATGCAATCATTCAGATCAAAATAAACAAAGTGACAAATATATGCAGATCGCCCTGTTTTTTTTAGGACATTCTCCTAATTAAATTATAAAAAGAAAAAAAAAAGAAAAAAAAAAAGTGAAATGAGTTGGATCTGCAAATAGAGATTCAAATTGAAAGAGAAGCCTAGATTCCATCATTCTTCAGACACACACAAAAAAAGAAAGCGAAAAAAGAAAACCCTAACCACTGTGTAAGAAGATATACAACAAAGGGGTTTCTTTATTACCAATTATTTATTTTCAAATTCAAGTAGCAGAACGAACACAGACAACGAAACCAGTGTAAACTAACAAATGCAATATTTAATTTAAAAAAAAAAAAGTAAATAAATAAATAAATAAAATCTCACCCCTTCGTCTTCTTCTTCTTCTTTTTTTTCTTTTTTCTTAGAGCAGCGACGCTATGGTTGGCAGCACCATAAAGAAAATGGCATTAAATTTGAAACCGTTGAATTGCATTTAAGAATGAAACTGTACATATATATAATATATACATACACGCACATGTGTATGTATATGTTGTATTGACAGCTCTTATTGGGACACGAGATGGTAGAAAGGCTTTACTTGAAAGAGAAAGGGGGTTTAAAAAATTTTAATACCAGTTTGAAAGTTTGAATTGTGAATATTTTATTTTTTTTATTTTTTATTATTACTGGAGAAAAAAAAATTAAATTAAATAAGTGAGGGTTGGGATGGAATATGTGAAGTAGGAAGAGGACAAGAAGGTAATTTTGACAAGGTTGGTATGAAAGACAAATGAATGGAAACGAGATTCTTAAATCTTAATGGATCTTCAGTTTTGCTGATTTGGACGATATTGTCTGTCCTTTCCTTTCTCTCTCACGCACACACACACTGACACACATACATCTCTCTCTCTCTCTCTCTCTCTCTCTCTCTCTCTCTCTCTCTCTCTCTCTCTCTCATAAGACTTTGAATTTGAAGAATGGAGCTACTACTCTCACTCTAAAGGAAAAAAGTGTCTCTTGTGGTGTTTGGAGACTCTTGCAAGTTTTTGAAAGGGAATGTTCTTTGTTTAAAATAACTGATTAAAAATATTTGTAAAGTTGAATTGTTGCTCATTAATAGGGAACGTCTGATTCTCGAGCGGGATATGGAAATATCATAATGGATATTAAACGTATTAGCGAAGATTTTGAAGAATTTAGAGTACAACACATACTTCGAGAAGGGAACCGGGTGGCTCACGAAGTAGCATCTCTATCAAAGCAAGGCGACTATCATTTGTTCGATCTTCCTCCTCTAATACATTCTGTAATCTCTCTTGAAATGTGTTAGATAATGAAAATTGATTTTGTTTCTCAAAAAAAAAAAAAATAGGGGTGAGAGTCGGATGGATCGGATCGAAATTAGCATTTTCGGAAAATTTCCAAAAAATTTCGGAAGTACAAAATCAATTCCAATTCCAATTCAAATTCCAAAATTTTCGGAATCCAAAAATTCATTCCAATTCCAAAAAGCCCGGAATTTTCGGAATTTCGGAAAAAAATCGGAAATCACATAAGCTTTAAAATTTCAAAACTTAGCGGAAATTTTCGAAAATGTTCATAATTTTCTAAAAATAAGAACATCCACGTCGATAGAAGTAAAACTAATAATTACTAAATTTCAGTTCAAAAAAATAAATAAAAATAAACACAACATAATATCCAATAAAACTTCTAACAATAATTCATTATCTCAAAATCCTAAAACAAAACTTATAGGTGTATTTTTTGGAAAATAAATATTATATAATATATATTATTTATGGGTATATTATTCAAAAAAAAAATCGGACTTTTTCGGAATTAATTTCGGAAATTAAATCGGATCGGTAATCGGAAATTCCAAGTTTATTTTATACAAGGGTAAATTACAAACACCCCCCTGAGGTATGGTCAAATTATAAAAATACCCCTCTTGTTTGGATAATTACAACCACCCCCTCAACTCCTCAAATTTAGTGGAATCTTCGAGATTATATGGAATATTATCACTTTTGTACCCGTTTTATCCCATTCAAACTCTACATTATGAAGCAAGATGATCATAATATGTGATTTTTAGCTTGCTATATAAGTTTTTGGTGTATCGGAAACTGTATTTTTACATAAAACGAGTACAAACTAGCGCACATTTCACGGAATCTAGATGACTATGTTGAATTTGGCACCATAAGGGTGGAGGTCTAAGAAAAAATCATAGTTGAGGGGGTAGATGTAATTATCCAAACAAGATGGGGGTTTTTGTAATTTGACCATACCTCAGGGGGTGTTTGTAATTTACCCTTTATATAATTCCAATTTCAATCCAAAAAAATCGAAAACATTCGGAAATCGGAATAAAAAAAGTTGTTCCTAAATCGGAATTTTTCGAATCGGAACCGGCGAAAATTCGAATTTCTGTTTCAACTTGCACTCCTACTCATTAACTTTAAGCTATGGGATCTTCATATTGAATTGGTAGTTACAGAGTTGTAAATATTTGGATTTAAACAAGATACATTGTAAAAATTAACTTACTCAGAGCAACTCCAATGCTAAATAGTAAATATCAAAATTGAATTATCTGTTATGAATTCTTAAAGATGTGGATGACCACTGTTACTCACCATCACTTCCACCATTATTCCACTATAATACCTATTGATGATCCCATTATGGTCTTGTAACTCATGACCTTTGAGAGGTCTTTCTAGTGCTACATATAGAGCACCATGTAATGTATTTGTACACTTGAAGATATGGAATAATATCTCTCTTTTCCCTATGTTGTTCTCTTCTCTTTGCAAATTATTTCCTAGTTTCTCAACACGTTATGAGCACGATTGTTCTACTTTAATTTTCGAGTAAAGATGATCCAAAGGAAGATAATTTGTTATCCGTAGAAAAAGAAAAGGGAGTTAATTTCAAATATTTTATTATTGTTTTGAATTGATGAAATATTAACAATCTTAATATTGTTGTAGGTGATTGTTTTGTGCAATTCACGATTTCGTACTTTGAGCCCATTTTTTGATATGATAATGTCCGAATTTCAGAAAATGCGTGATACGAAACGTGTAGCATTTTCTGTTGGCTTTTCGAAACATTTTGAATCATCAAAATCGGATTTCGATCGAGAGAGATATGCTTAAAATACTCAGCTCTGCCAGAGCTGTCCCTTGTGTGATTTTTTTGAGATGAACATGATGTTCTAAAAACAAAAGGGACGATTATAGGCCTAGAGCCTAGATTACATACGAGATTAGAAATCTCGATTGAATATATTAAGACTCTAAGTCTAAATGATAAGACTCTTGAGCATTGGAGTTAGTGGGTATTCCCCATTTATAGTACTATTCTTTCATGATCAAAGTATTATAACGATTTTTATTATATATTGAGGCTTGAAGCCCAAATCGAGCACGTGTAATCAAGTACTTGAAGATTTGAGTGATATATTAAAAAAAAAAAAAAAAAACCAACAACTTGCTCTCTAGTTTATGCAACTTGAAAAGCTCCATCAATCGAAAAAGAACTCGAAGTTCATAAATTTTAGGCTCGAAGCCTAGTATAAATATGAAAGCTTGAAAGCTTATGTGGAGGCATATCAAATCTAAAGACTTGAGGCCTAGATTAAATTTGAAGACTATAAGTCTCGATTGAATATATTGGACTCAAGGTCTAAGTGATGATACTCAAAATTGAATATTTGAGTTAATGGATATTCCCCACTCAAGGTACTATTATTTTACGATTAAGTACCAATTATAAAGGCTTGAGGCCTGAATCGAATACATAAATTCAAGGTATAAAACTCAAACCTTGATATTTGAATAATATATATGAAGATTTGAGTTAATTATAGTACCATTATTTCATGACAAGTACTATAATGATTTATATGAAACATTCGGACTCACATCCAGTACATATTTTAAGCAATAAAACTCAAATCTTGAGATTATATATATGTACTCAAAATGAACTATTCACTTTGTGATTCAACGATATGAGAAATACCACAAAGTTTGAAATTATATATATTTGATAGTTCAAGAACAAACTTAACTATAAGTTATGGATCATTGAAGTTGAAGATCCATCTATGTGTATTGAAAATATAAGCCAAATATTTCATAATTAAAATGTGCCTAGAAGAGACCGAGCAAAATTTGTTTCATTTTCAAGAAAGGAATAAATAATTTGGGGTATGTGTCATGTGAATACATAAGTAAAAGTAACATAAAATAAATTACTTATGGAGATACATAAGAGAGAAAACTCTCTAAGTTGTGAATTGAAATACTACCGCAGTAGCAATATTTTGGATCTATATTATGCTCAGGAAGTAGCAACATAAAAATTAAAGTTGCACTCGTACTAGCAAATATCGAGAAAATTTGGTAGCATATCGTACTATAATACGAGTTGTGGAGCTAAAATTGAAATAATGCAAAGCTCGTTCAATTATTGTTATTCTTTGACAGTTAAAACGACAAAATATTTCAAGAGATATCTTAAATAGATATCATGGCGCTTGTTACATTATAAATCTATCTCCCCATAATCATTTACGATAAAGCATGTTGATAAGCTTTATCAAGCACCAATAGAAAAACAAAAGAAATTGCGTGATTTTGAAGTCACGATATTGATCAATTCAATTAAAGTTGCAAATTTCATTCTAAAGCCATATCTATGGAGGTATGTATATATTAATAAGGTTCTATTGTAGTAGATTAGTATATTAAGTATCACCAAATATTAATTATACATAAACTGAAAAATGCAAAATCTAATCAGAGATACAAATTGTTCTAATATAATGAATATTGAAATCTCTTGAAATGCAGCTGGTTGACACAATAATATTTGAGAGCTTCAGGTCTGGATAAAATTTATAATAATTGAATCTGATATTTCTACGTCACAATCGTCTTCGGAGAAGGAGTGATGATAGTACATATTTTTTACTGAACTATGATAAAATTATATAATGAATTATTAGTATGTTAATAATTGTTTTAATATATAGTTTCGCATGATTCCTTTTTCTTCTTTTTTATGATTTTCACTAGTTAAGTATAGCATAGAAATTTATCCTATTCTCTACATTTTAATGTTTTATTATTAGTATTAATATTGAGCTTTCATTGAACCAGTTGGTAGGCCAACTTAATTCATTTATATTAGGGGTGGAATTCGGAATAGAATTTTCGAATTCTGCCAATTCCGGTCCGAAAATATCCAAATTTGGAACCATATTTTTCATTCCGATTTCCGATATTTTGGAATCTATTTGGAACGGAATCGGAATTGTATATAAAATTACTGGAAATCGATTTCCGATCCGATTTTAGTTCGGAATATTTAGATTGTTTTTTGAAATATATAATATAATTTTATGGTATATGTTCTATAATTCCATAATATACCTTATGTTATATTTTATATGAAAAATATAAATACGGAAGGATTAAGTAAATTAAAACCTTAGAAAAGATTGTTATGAGATTTTTCCTTTTCAAAAAATATTTTTTTCAATTTGTTGTTCCTATATGTGGTTTTGTTTATCGCGTTATGTCCCTCTTTTTAATTTCCTTGCATTTTCCTGCTAAATTTCGAAAAATGTAGAAAAATATTATGAAAATTCGCATTAATTATATCCAAATTTGGAACAACACATATTATAAACTAATGTAATTTCCGAATTTTCGTTGATTCCGAGGCGTTCCGAAATCGGAATGAATTTTTGCATTCCGAATTTTTGGAAAAGAAATTGGAACCCATTTTTCCTTTTGAAAAAAGTTGAAAATTTTCCGAAAAAACCATTTCCGATCCATTCCGTCTGATTTCCACCGCAAATTTCAGATAAGATAGAAATAGAAAACTTGATATTTGCTGAAAAAAAAGTTGTGTAAATATAGCTTATATAGTATGAGTTTTTTCGTAGGATAATAGTATTTATCCCTAAAACTCCCTAAACTCCCCTATATATATATATATATATATATATATATATATATATATATATATATATATATATATATATATATATATATATATATATATATATATATATATATATATATATATAGAGAATGTATGTGCAACTTGGAGTGCGAGAGCGGCCAAACATCGGCCGGCATTGGATCGAAACTTGTCACTTTTTCATCGAACAATTCTTTTATCAATAATATATGTGAAAGGCAGTGCTTGATATTTCCCGTATTTTTGGCCACCGGTTTCCTCGACATACGAGGATGGGCAGTCGCGTTGCATGAAGTGGGATATTGCCGGACGTTACTACACCTGCAATTGGACGAGATACAAATGTATGAGGTATGTAAATTTAATTCATTGTATATGTAATTTATTGTTGGTGTTGAGATTTGTATGTGAATTTAAAATGTAACTAATGTTGTAGATAATTATCGTTGGCCATGTATTTTTGTTTTATGTTTAGCAAATATTAAAAAAAAAAAAAAAAAAAAAACAATTTTGATATTCGCTTCGGACTTCAATACGTGCAGTGATGCCCTCACTCCGGGATTCAAATGGTGGATGTCATGAATCATGATCCATCATTTCAAGCCCGAGGCGAGGCATTTTTCCGGTTTTTTTTTTGCAAATAAACTATATTTCCGTCGTTGTTATCGATAAACGTTGCTTCATATAGGATTTCATCTGAAAAAAATGAAAAGGGTTTACAACGTTTGATCATTTCACCGGAAACATTTTGCGAGAGTCGGATTGAGATTTTGACAGTGGGATATAAGAAAATTGTACTGCAAATAAAAAACTCCCATTAAAAAAAGGTATGAACTAAACAAGATAAGATGTGTATAGGCTTTTTTCTTTTTTTTGGGGGGAGGAAGATGTGTATAGATTTAATAGAGATAAATTATCATTTACTACATATCAGTTTAAAGAAAAAGCTTTCATTATATTTGTTTATTATAGGAAGATGTGTATAGATTACTACTATTTTCCACTATTAACCCCTCTGTTTGTCAAAAGGAATATGTAATCAATGGAGATCTCTTGTACCTACTATATAGCCTATAGAAGCTTAACCTAAAAATCCCATCTCTATTCAACTCTCTTATATATGGCTAAAATATTGCACCTTCTACTTGTTCTCTTTCTATCTCTTCTCCAAAGATGTGTATTTTCAGATCAATCACAAGGTTTCAGCCTGAATCTCGTCCGACGAGAAATAACCGACACCGATATTTTCCCCGACACCATTCGGCCCCGGATCACCCGGTCCTCGTACTTGTACACCATCGATGCGTCAATAGGCACGCCGCCGAGGAAAAGGACCTTCATCTTCGACACGGGGAGTGAACTAACATGGACGCAGTGCACGCCGTGCGTCCACTGTTTCAAGCAAGACTACCCCTTATTCGATCCCAAAACGTCGACCTCCTACAAAAGACTAACCCCGAGTCACGCCCTCGCGCGATTCTTCCAACGCTCCAACAACGGGGAGTGCGTCTTCAACATGATGTACATGAGCGGCGAATCGTCGTCCGGCATTGCATCGGTCGAGACCTTCACTTTCACATCGAACAAACGTGGGGCCGAGAGTGTAAAAGGGGTCGCTTTCGGATGCTCGAACAACCATCGAGGCGAAATCTCTAGCAACACTGCGGTAACCGGGATCATGGGCATGAACCGGTCCCCTCTCTCCTTAATTAGTCAAATGGGCACAAAATCGGCTCGACGATTCTCTTATTGCCTCCCGAAACTTAGTTCCCCCGTTAAATCGACATTTCTTAGATTCGGAAACGATATCAAGGACAAAGGAAGTTTCCAGAAGACCAGTTTTCTTACCTCGGGAAGCGACTACAATGTGAGATTGCTGGCCATAAGCATCAACGGTCGACAATTGAGCCTTCCATGGGGGGCTTTATCGAAGGGATGTGTATTGGATGTGGGTAGTGGTGCATCTAATATCGAGATGGGGGTTTATAACGTCGTTTTGAGCGTGCTTAGAGAATATTTCGATAGGTTTAACCTCACGAGGGTTAATGATATTCCGAGTCCTCTAGGGGATTTGTGCTACCGCGTACAACGGGCATTTAGAAGCTACCCGAGTATGGTTCTTCATTTCCAGGGGTCAAATTTTGAGATTGGGGCGGCAAATTTGTTCCGTTTTCGAGACGATTACTTTTGCTTGGGGATGTTCGGAAGGCAGGGTATGTCGATGACGATGCTACTTGGAGCTTATCAGCAACAAAATGTGAGATTTGTATATGATGTTGGCAATGGAAAACTCTTGTTTGGTAAGGAGGACTGCTCCCAGGATAAAGCTTGATCGATGAAGAATTGTATTCATCATGGTCACATTTTTTTGTATCAAGAAAATGTATTATGTGTTGCCATCATGCCATGGGATATAGAAAATAAATAAATTCAAGATGGGAATGAATAGAATTGTTATGTGATAGCAAAATAAATGCTTAAAGATTGGAATGAATAAATGTTTGGTAATTTTAACATAAAAGGACAAAAGATCCAAAATATATCTTGACAATTGACATAGATAAACAGTAAAAAGGAAAATAAAAATATAGGTTTCCGTTGCCGGGACTTGAACCCGGGTCTCTCGGGTGAGAGCCGAGTATCCTGACCAACTAGACTACAACGGATTGTTATATGTTTCCATAACAAAGGTTACTTTTAAAACATACGTGCAATTTTTTTATCAAGTAATTATTCCATTTGCTTATTTATATATTGAAGATTGCAAAACATCGGTTTGATGCATGTTTCAGTATCACTTTGAATTCTTGTTTTTTAGATATAATAATATTCTGTAGTTTATCAAGTATCAGTATCTCTTTTCTCTCCACTGTCATGAGTCATGACGACATCTATCATCTATGTGCAGTGGTTTAAAACCCCAAGCGGCGATTAAGATACGATACCTCGTCGCCCCAGTTTCGTAATTCGTCAAACTCTCGCTAGAACAATTGAGACTAATTTATGTTTTAGTTCATTTCTTTTCAATAAGGAATTCTTTGTTTTCGTGTCTCTCAAGATTTTTATTTAATTAGTAACGGATTCTCTGTGTGTGTCTTGCTTATCAACCCTACTAATTTTTTTTAGTAGATTACGTAATTTCGTAGTGGATTACGGTAATTTTGTAGTGAATTGCGCTACACTAGCGTATTGTGCTACTGATTTTGTTTTTTTAACCTGAAAGACCCAAATACACTTCAAATCAGTGATTCGAAAATTACAAATTCACACCAAAATTTGTAGACGACCCAAAATAAAGTTTTGAAAATTCCATTTAGTCCCTTGTATATATTCCAAACCCTCTGTCTCAACATCCAAATCAACCAAAATCCTTCCACACATTTTGATTTATTGATCTTGAATTCGGTCCTCGTGAGAGAAAACCATTTGAGAGGAAGCCAAGAATCGTTGTACCTCGTCGGGAGTGGGTGATCAGGCACCAATCCAGACAATGCGCCAACTTCATACTAAAAATAGGTGAACACCTATCAACTCAGCTCGGATTTAATGTTTATGGCATTAAAGATGGCACACCATTTTACTCCCCTATCCCCTGTTTGATAGAAAAATTGTGTTTTTTGTCTCCCATGCATTTCGCCAAATTTTAGATCAAATAATAATATTTCACCATTTCGCCATTCATAGGAAATGAAATTTGGTTAGGTCTCCTCTGACATTTCACTATATATGTCGCAAAACTAAATTTAATATTTATCATAATTTTAGTATAGTATATTTTCTAAATATTAATTATAGATCCAATGTGAAGTAATACTTACTTATAAAATTAAAAAAAATATGTTATAATTTTTTTAAAAACTATCTAAACATGAAATAAAATTAACTGAAATTAATGTACACATAATAAAATCATACGGAAATAATAATCTCATAAACTACTGCATAAATGAATAATATTACAACATATATAAATTAATCTAAAATAAAAAAAAGTCTCATTCACCATTATTATCATCATTATCAACATCATCTATTTGATCACTTTAATCGCACAAGTGTTCTACCAATCTCCTTCTTATTTTATTGTGTTTTCCTTGATTTATCAGATTTTAGAGTTGTAAGACGCACATATTTTTTGATAAGAAGTAAAACCTGGACGTCCTATATTGTCGTAAAATTCGCCCCACTAATCAAGACCATTAAGTAGTGTATGAGAATTTCAATTTATATAATTTGTGTTGTAGTTTATTATGGTTGTTATCATGTTATGTTGTTTGTTGTTTTATGAGCTATGTACTTCAATTTAAAGGTCTCTTCCTATATTTAATTAAAGTGTGTTTCATTAATCATGTTGCTTATTATATTTTATTAAAAGCAATTAGTGTATTATTTAAATAAAAAAAATAATTAATCAACATTGATACCAAAAATACAAATTAGTTAAAAATAAGCATATTTATATTTATTTGATTTTTTTTATTAATAACTAAAAAATATGTGTAAGATCTATAATGCTCTTAAGTTAAATAAAAAGAAAAATAAAAAGAAACATTTACCAAAACTCCCTGAAATATGATTAAATTAATTACCAGAAAAATCATCACGTATCCATGATTACTAAAAAAAAGCACCTAAAGTTTGTTTATCAGGTTAATTTAAAAAAAATATATGTCTCTCAAGGTTTGAAGAATCATGTCTTCTCAATGATTGCTAATTTAAATTTATACATATTAAAAAATATTTAAATACTACCAATAAAAAGATAAAGCAACTATCATTAGATTCATTACCTTAAAAAAGTGACTAAATATCAATTGCTTTTAGACTGCGCTTTTTTGTTTTTATTAGCTGAAGTTTCTAGTTTAGGATGCACTAATTTATGTAAAATATTTTTTGTTGGTTTTTGTGGGTAACATTAATCAATATCCATAGCTATAGTATACATACAATATTAATGTCTTATTAATACATCATTCTCTTCACCATTTCCTTATATGTTGCATGCAGTATTGAAACAAGTATTATCGTTTTTTTGTTCTTGAAAAAAAAAGAAGGTAGGTTCATGTTTCGTACATATTGCGAAAATTCGATATGAATAATTCCGAACCGTACCAAAATATATATATATAGTTAGTTAGTTAGTTAGTTAGTGTGTGTGTGTGTCAGTGGCGGATCCAGGACGAAAATTCAGGGTATGCCGACTGTGCCGAGTCCAAGAATTTACTGTACAGTGGGGTTAAATTTTCGGGGGTTCGGGGGCAGCGCCCCCGGAAAAAAAATTTTGAACCTTTTTTTGTTGGATAAATTAGGAGAAGGGAAAAAAGAAATTGAAACTTTTTATTTTATTTTTTTGGATAAATTAGGAGAAGAAAAAATTTGGGACTTTTTTTGTATATTTTGAATTTTAGGTGGACTAAATAATAATATAGATATAATATAATGTGTTTTTGGGAATAGGGGCTAAAAAAACAAGAAAAAACTTAGGACTTTTTTTGTATATTTTGAATTTTGTGTGGACTAAATAATAATATAGATATAATATAATGTGTTTTTGGGGAGAGGGGCTAAAAAGAAAAGGAAAAAAGTTAGGACTTTTTTTGTATATTTTAAATTTCAGGTGGACTAAATAGTAATATAGATATAATATAATGTGTTTTTGGGAGAGGGGCTCAGAAGAAATTTAGACAAAAAAATTAAACCATAAATTTTTTTTTGTTCCATAGTGGATTCGAACTCATGACCTCAACTCACAACTTGGAGATGTTAGCCACTAAGGCAAATTTATTTTTATTTTTTGGGGTGGTCCATGGCATACTTGGCCACCCCCTAGATCCGCCCCTGGTGTGTGTGTGTGTGTCACGTGTGCTCGCAGTGAATTTCCTCGAACATCTTTTTTTTTTGTCTTTTCATTTAACTGATGCCATATGTACGGGTGACAATGTGACAACCCTTATCTAGGATTTTTAAATTAATTTACAGATTCCCTGATTATATATATATTTACAGATCAAACCCAAAAATGAGAAAATGCTTCCTGGAGTTTTTGTTCTAATTATATTATAAATATTACCCAACAACTACAAAGTAAACTCATGGCACCCAAGTCAGACAAGGGGAAATTTAAGAAGAAAAGTAAAATTATTTATAGCCAAAAAAGGTATTTTATTTATTTATTTATTTATTTTCCTTGACTTATCACAATAATGTTATGAGTATGTAATTGTTCTTAAATTAATATTCTTCTTCCACATGGGCTCACTAACTTCAGCATTTGGATAATTAGATGAAATAACGAATAATTGGAATAACATGATTGGTTCTGGAAAGTTCGCAGTAGTTTGCAGAGGTGTATGTGAACTCGACGATGTTGTAATTGATGTTGCTATCAAAGTTTACGAAAAGATTGATGAATTTCTGGCAATCATCATCATATAATAATAATAATAATAATAATAATAATAATAATAATAATAATAATAATAATAATAATAATAATAATAATAATAATAATGATGATGATGATGATGATGATGATGATCGTCATTATTATTATTAATCTATATAATATATAAAAGTTGAATTGCATAGCTAATTGATTGACATTTGGCAATTACAATTGATGACATGTAATCAATTTCATCCCAAGTGGCGAATTGATTGGTGGAAATAAATCATCAAAAAACATGTCATCATTTTCCAAAATTAGAGGTAATTAAATATATTTAATTATTTTATTAATATATTTATATCCTACCATTTATAAAATGCTCTAAATATATCAACTTTCTTAGAAACCCTAAATAAATTTATTTTTTTTATTTCATTTTATAATTAATTTAATTTGAATTTAGTCAAATTCGATTTAAAATCTTCCCTTATTATAATTGCATGATTGGTGGCGTTACGAATTTTTTTAATTTTAATTCATAAAATTGGATTTATATTAAAAAAAATATTGCAGAATAAATTATTTGATATTATACATTTTACATGAGCATGACAAGAGAATATGTATTTTTTTTACTAATTTAATATTATATATTAATATTATCTGTAAAAAAGAAAGATACATGTTTGAATTTACTATCTTGCAAAAATTGACACTATTTGTTATGCCATGTGTAGAGTAATGTACTCCCAAATATGTACCATATTGAAAATCATACTACATGAGTTTCATTTTATTATTTAAATAACTATTTTTTCTTCACTGAATCCAGTGGCAATAAATTTTACGATTGATTTAACCTTTTAAATTATATACTAATTAAAATACAAATTTTATCATGATTATACTAATATATTGAATAACCTAAGTGAAGCTTAATCAAA